CACCATAAACGGAAATGTCACTTATTACGACTACAGCATTCTTGTGAGAAGCAGCCTCGATGGAAAACTGAAAAATAAAAAATTGAAAATTCGGAGTTTGAAAAAAATCCGGCAACCTCAAAAGGTGTGGATGATGTCGCTACAATTGTCATTTCACCGAATAGTTGCGATCCATCCACACATTGTTCGAGAGCACAGAGTCGAACGAGCCCGTGCTCGGATCTAAGAAAAATAATTTAATTTGGAGCTTACCTGTGAAGACGGGTTCGGGTTCAATCAAGGAATCCAGTACATGAATAGGTCACTTTACCTCATGTAAGTTACTGTCACTGTAGCGTTATTAGCGCAAGAAACCTCTCTCGAGCGTAATCGCGACGTTTTCATCCCTTCCAAAACAAATGTTGCTACGTTTCCTGAAACTTTAGTGCTTAGTTGCCAGATAGAAAAAAGACCCCAAACATACCTTTCATCCCAGGTGGAACTGGGAATTTTTCGCTGTTCCTTGGAATTACACCATACGCAACCATGCCGTCATCGTTTACCCATTGACTACAGTAATCTTGCGAAAAGTCGCAATTTAAGTCTGTGGAATAAGGTGTGTTTGCTCCAGGTCCTTGTTGTAGTCCAAATAAGGATACAATCTGAAAAAAAGAGTTGTTGATAATTACGGCACTCACTGCCGCTTTTTAAAATCGTGTAGAATCCTTCCTTTTCAAGTAGAGCAAAAGAAGCAAGTTTTATTCAATTTTCCCAAGACTAGGAAAGGTGTGGCTTATCCAAGGATTACCGGGACACTCGCATGCAAGGGTTTTTTCCAACTTACCGTGGGCGGATCTATCGTTGTCACAATTGGTGGTGGTTCTTCCGAGCACAATAATCCTTTTAGTCGAATTTCTGAGATAGCCACTAACCCTACGGATGTTTCGTCGAAAGCGATCATTTCCAAGGTAAACTAAAATTTTTAACGTGAGAATATCCAGAAATAAACCTAAATACAGTATGTCTCAATGGCAGTGTCCTTTTTGCTCGCAGCTACGCGCATGCAGCGTAAGGCATCGGACATACCTCGTCGCAACGCGTTTCCTTATTGCTACGATTGTTCATATTCTTCCGTATGCGTACTCTGGAAGCAAAATTTGGCAAGTAGGCATAATCCAAGAAAAGCTATGCGCCTATGCACTTGAATTCAGTACGCGGTGGATTTACAGACATCTGGCGAATTGCCAAATCGCGTATCGCCGCGATTTTGAAGGAATCGCCTGCGGTATGCCCGATGCCTAAGGCTGCGCGGACCGATGATGAGGTGATGTGAACAAAACGCTCGCAAACGCTGCGCAAGACGCTAGCGACGAGGATACGCCTATTGAACGGGCACTGCGCGATTGGAACAGACTGTAAATCATTTGTGATTTTACCCTGAAAGGTTGATCATAAGCATCGACATCGATCTCGATGGGTCCTGGAGAGTCTTCTTCACTGAGATATGCGCAACTCAATGGTATCCCGTCCACATCCACAGAGCAGACTTCAACTTGCGTCCCAGCTTTCAGCCAGTACCTGCAGGGTAGATAAATTGAAAATAGATATCTAAAAATATAGGAGGTCCCACTTCATTGAAAGTGTTGTCGTAGTCTGGGTGCAAGGTATAAGTTCACTGCGAAGTGTAGCATATCTTCGAGGAGACAATGAATCCACTGCTAAGAATAAGAAAGTTGTGTTCGGGTGAGATTTTTCCATACCGGATCCCTGGAAAAATTTTCCTTGAACTTTTCCAGTAGTTTCTGGATGGAAAACTCCATCAAAAGCAATAAAGTTCGAACTGAAAAATTATTTCTCAAAGAAAAATTTGCATATATCCTAAAATATGGACATCTTTCCCAACATCGAAAAAAGTAGCGGAAAGACAGATTTTCTTTCAAAAAGGAAATGTTCAGATCTTGCGAGATGTCCTGCTTTTGCTTTCCCCAACTACACGCGTATTTTACTCGTAACTGAGAATTGAAAAAAAA